TATCTGGAATTTGAATTTCGAAATGTATCTGAAATTCAAATTTTGAATTTATCTCAAATTTGAATTTTGAAATGTATCTGAAATTTGAAATTTATCTAAAATTTATCTGAAATTTGAAATCGAAAATCTTATCCGATATGAATAGTATTGACACGTAGGAACCCAAAAATCTTATCCAAAAATATTATCCAAATTAATTGTTTAAATAAACAAAGTTGTGAAAAAAACAAAAAAATGAATAGTAATTGCCATGGCAAGGGGCTAACTGCTGGAAACACACATTTCCTGGGGGAAGCTAGGGCAGCCACTATTCACGTGAATAGTAACTGCCTTAGGGCTCCCCTTGCCATGGCAAGGGGCTAACTGGTGGAAGTGCTCTTACAAACGAAAGTTGAGTAGAATGAGAGAGAAAGAAAGCCGAAAGATTACTGGGTTTTGCGTCGCACATTTTGCCTCTTTTCTGATTGATCGATACCTTTGAGCTATGGCTGAGGGCTTTCCTGGATTGGTCAGAAAGATATCGAGGGTTACCAAGCGTATAAGGTCGTTAGAAGATCTGAATGCAGATTGCGATGAGGAACTCATCCCAATGGTAAACCTAGGGCTGGAGGTCGACACGACTTCAGAGTCACCCTCATTTATGAAGAATGCCAGCTTTCGTGATAGACTTATGAACCAAGTGAACCTAACCAAAAACACTGGTATTGCTGTGGATTCCTTGGAGGTAGACTATGTAGATCTGACTGATGAAGATGATGTCGAGATATCACGTGGTACGTGAGGCCCAAGTATCCAATTTTCAGATCGAGCGATGACCCATTTTTGCCAACCTTAGAAGAATGCCATAATCATCAAGCTTTTGGGTCGCTCGCACACCTACAACTACCTTCGTGACCGACTGCAGCAAAAGTGGAATCTGAAGGGTCAATGGAAGCTCGTCGATCTCGTCAATGACTACTTTGTGGTCTAATTCGATCTAGAAGAGAATTTGAACTATGTACTGACGGAAGGATTGTGGATTATCTATGGGCAATACCTAACCCTTCAGAAATGGCGAACTAGGTTCTGCCCTGCTACAACGCACATCACCCGTATGGCAACCTGGATCAAAGTATCCGCTATCCAATTGGAATGCTTTGATGTCTGGGCTCTCAAGAGAATTGGTAATTTACTGGGTAAATTACTGAAAATTGATGCTCTTACCACAAGCCAGAACAGAGGTAAATTTGCTTGACTCTTTATTGAACTAGATATGACTAAGCCTCCGGATGCCTTTATACAAATCAATCAAATTTGGTATAACATTGAGTATGAAGGGTTGTTAGATATCTGCTATCATTGCGGACTATATGGACATAAAAGTGATAACTGTACGGAAAGAAGGAAGCCTACTACAGATATGCCTAAAGGGAATCGATCTGACCCAAGTGGGACAAGATACCATTATGGAAAAAGGAAAGTGGTGAAGATGTAGTGGAGAACTTGAGGGGCTCGTGGATGAATGTTCCACCTAGAAGGAAAACTAATACCGGTGCAAAAATTTGGGGTGGGGAAAGTAACAGCCTTAAGCCCCATGGCTCTCGTTTTGATGCTCTTGAGAGGATTACTGATAAGTTTGGAACAAAAACCAAGGAGGCATTTGTTGACGTCATCCCAACCAATAAGGTGACCAATAAGATTAATTATGATGTTTGGGTGAAAATATGGACCAAGTCTAACAAAGCTAAAGGTGGAGGTAGACCGGCTATGAAATATATCTCAAACAGGAGTATGGCTTCAAGTTACAGAGGGGCAACTGATTAGCAGAAAAAAGTGAATCCTAAAGACAATACTCAGACTGTAAAATTGAACAAAGGAATGCTTGACACAAGCATGTTGCAACCTTCCCAAGCTACTAAAGGGGCTTTTATCTTTAGACGCCAACCATTGACGCTTTAGCCTCTGATGCAATTGATAGTTTATGTACAGTGAAAGGCATGGACCTTGCTGAAGGTCAAGATCACACCATTGGCGAAGATGGGGTAAATCTTGTCGGTTTGCCTGATATAGGTATGCCGCTTGGTCTGTAATGGATGGGTTTAGCCCCCAGGTTAACTGTAATATCAATAATCTTTTATGGATATTTTATGATAGAATGCTATAGGTGCATCAAGCACCAAATTCAAAGTGAATATGATGGAACTCATTAAAATTCAGTCTATTGATATTTTGTTTGTCTGCGAACCTAGAATTGGAGGAGATAAGGCCCTCAAAATGGTTAAATCTTTGGGTTTCTCGAATTTTGAAGTGGTGGATCCTACTGGATTTTCTGAAGGTCTGTGGCTTCTCTGGAATGCCAATAAAGTGAATGTTGAAATTATTGGTACCTCAGACCAAACTATTTCCGCGTATGTCTCTTGGTATGGTCGTAGCCTTTGGATCTTTACTGGAATATATGCTAATCCTTGCTCCACCAAAAGAGCAAAATTATGGGAGTACTTGAATTTTGTTGCTAACTGTCACCAAATGTCTTGGCTTATTGCTGGAGATTTTAATGACATGATCAAAACAAATGATAAAATGGGGGGAATCCCATTACACCGGCTCAAGGGTTTTAAAAAGTGGTTTGATGAGAATAACATGATTGACTTGGGCTATTCTGGCCCTAAGTTCACTTGGACTAATAACAGAGTCTTTGAACGAATTGATAGAGCAGTGTGTAATATGCAGTGGAGGCAACAGTTTGCTGAGGCCTTTGTTCAACATCTCCCAAGGACAAAATCCGACCATTGTCCCATCAAAATTTGTCTGAAGTCTTGCGTTATGTCTTGCCCAAATCGAAGACCCTTCAGGTTTGAAGCGATGTGATTAAAGCATGACCAGTTCCATGATTTTATTTTGCAGCAATGGGATCAAGGGTTTGGCCTGGCCCTTGCGAAGTCTCATAGTTTGGTGGAACCTCTAAAGCATTGGAACATTGCTGTTTTTGGCCATCTGAAGCAAAGAAAAACTCGATTACTAGCTCGTCTCAATGGTATCCAACGAGGTATGTGTCATAGACCTATTAGATTTCTCACCCAACTGGAGGAATCTCTCTCAACTGAATACAATATCATTTTAAACCAAGAAGCCTTGTTTTGGCAGCAAAAGTCAAGAGTCAAATGGCTACAAGAGGGTGACCGAAATACTAAGTTTTTCCACCTCTCCACTATTGTTAGAAGACGCAGGAACAAAATCGAAAAACTGAAGAACAATGTTGGAGTTTGGGTAGAGGAAGCTATTGAGCTAAAGAAGTTCGCGATTGACTACTTTATGGGGCTTTTCTATTCAAACCAGCCAGATAACACCAATCCTCCCATGTCTAAGCTATTCCCCAGCCTAAGGGAGGTTGAGCTCAACCCCTTAGTGACTAGTATTAATATCAATGAGGTCAAGGAAAGTCTTTTCAATATTGGTAGCCTGAAAATCCCGGGAGTGGTTAGGTTTCCTGCTTGCTTCTATCAAAATCAATGGTAGCTTTGTGTATTGTCCACCTTGTCATCGAAGCGTTAAGGGAGTGCCGAATCCTCGAAGGTTTGAATGCCACTTTGGTAACTCTCATCCCTAAAATAGATAGCCCTATGTCTATGATGCATTTTAGACTAATTAGTCTTTGCTGCACTCTGTACAAGGTATATATCTGATAATATTCTGATTGCTCAAGAGCTCATGTTTAAATTCAGAAATACTAAAAGGAAAAAATGTTTTATGCTTGGAAGATTGACCTTTCTAAAGCCTATGACAGATTAAATTAGAGTTTTATCATGACAATTCTTAACGAAGTCGGTTTACTTGCAAATCTCATCAAGCTGATCATTCATTGTGTTTCTTCTGTTACTTATCACGTCTGCGTCAATGGGGAGCTCACCGAGACTTTCACCTATAAGAATGGCATCCGTCAGGGAGACCCTCTCTCCCCCTACCTCTTCGTTCTTTTAATGGAGAAGTTTTCTCACCTCATAGTGGAAGTAGTGAAGAATTGCAATTAGAAACCTGTGAAATCCTCCCATGGTGGCCCTTATGTCTCCCATATGTTCTTTGATGATGATTTGATTCTTTTTGCAGAAGCTACTCCCCGACAAGCTCATATTATGAAGCAGTGTCTGGATGACTTTTGTAGAGCCTCGGGCCAAGTTGTCAATTTTGAGAAATCTGCGATTTATTGGTCCCCAAATATTAGCAAGGAATTAGCGTATGATATTAGTCACATTTGTGGTTCATCTCTTGCGAATAACTTGGGTAAGTACCTAGGGATGCCCTTACTTCACTCTCGGGTAACCAAGACTACCTACAACAATCTGGTTGACGAAGTGCATGCCAAACTTGCTTACTGGAAAAGCAGAGTCCTTTTTTCTACAAGTAGAGCAACTCTAATCCAAGCCGTCACCTCCGTTATTCCTGTTTTTGCCATGCAAACTGCCAAGCTTCCCATGAGCATATGTGATGAGTTGGATAAATTAAACCGCAATTTCTTTTGGGGAGGTAGTGATAAAAAGACTAAGGTTCATCTTTGTTAGTGGGATCTGTTGTGCAGACCTAAGAGTAAAGGGGGTCTGGGTTTCAAAAAAACTCACGACATGAACAAAGTCCTGCTAGCTAAAATTGGTTGGAGACCTTTAAAAAAGGATAAGGGTTTATGGGCCCAGATTTTTGAGAAAAAATACCTAAGGGGCCACTCCCCTTGTGATACCAATTTACTTCTCAAACAAAATTGCTCTCCCACCTGGAAAGGTATTGTGCTTAGGAAATGGGACAATATTAACTTCTGGAAGGATAAGTGGATTGCCGATGAAGCTCTTATCGATATGGTGGAGGTTAGCCCTGATTCTAGTATGGACACTATAGTCTCTGACTTTTTTATGGATGGTTGGTGGGATATTGAAAAGCTGAGAAGCATGCTCCTTGAAGAGTGGGTACATAAAATTATTTGTTGCCCTACTGACTTTGGGGGTACTCTGGAGGATTGTCAAAATTGGCAAACTACTTCTAATGGTCTTTTTTCTATCAAGTCTGCTTATAACTTGCTCTTTTCAGGGATGGAGTGGTTGAACCCCTAGTGGAAAGTCCTTTGGAAACACAAATTACCCTTGAAGATTCTTTTCTTCTTATGGCTGGCGTATCAAGGAAAAATCATGTCCAATGAGCAGCGTGCCCGTAGGCTTTTCATAGGTGACCATGCTTGTTGCATTTTTGATTGGCATACATAATCTACCTTACATATTCTTAGGAACTGCACTAGAGCTAAAAGGGTGTGGAACCTTTTTCTGAACAATAACCAAGATGTTCCTTTTTTCCACACTAAGCTACACCCCTGGCTGCTTAGCAACTTTTGCTCTAAGAATAAGTTCCTGCAAATCCCTTAGAAAACTCTGTTTGGTGTCATCTGATGGCACCTATGGAAATGGAGAAATGATTTTATTTTGAAAAATAAGCATGATTTGCCTTTTAATCCTAGAGAGCTGATTCTGTCTGCTACTAAGGAGTGGATCAAGGCCTCTACTAATAATCAATTGGGAGGCGATATTAGTTTGGCCCGGGCCCCCCCCCCCCCCTTGGAGCTGGAGGAGTTATTAGAGATCACACGGGTAACTGGATTGGTGGTTTTGCTGTCAACCTGGGGAAAGGGCAAATCCTTGAAGCTGAGCTGTGGGGTTTATTTTTTGGTCTAAATTTAGCTATCACAAGAAGAATAATGGATATTGTTGTTGAAATGGATTCTGTCAATGCCGTTAATCTTATCCTAAGTAATGATATGAATATTTGTTATCCTATGGCTGGTTTGGTTAGCAGCTGCAAGAGACTTCTGAGCCAAATTCCAAGAAGTATTCTTCACCACATCTACAGAGAGAAGAACGATGTAGCTGACAGATTGGCTGCTTGGAGCCACGACATTGATCTGGGGTGCTGGTTTCTTGAGGAAAATCCGACTTTGCTTGGGCCTCTGTTGTTGGATGACTCAATAGGGGTTACAAAGACCCATATTATTAATTATGTTTAGTTGTTTTTGTCATTTTCTGTGGTTTTATACCCCCTTGTTTCACCACAAAAAAGAAAAAAGAAAAAAGGTTTTGACTCGGCCTAAACAATGTTGTCATATGCTCGCCACGCCAATGCCATTGCCCCAAGGTTCCCAACCAACAAATCACGCTCATTTTCTTTCTCTTTTAAACACAACATCAAACACTTCATCTTCACATTCGTCGTCGTCTTTGTCTGTAGGAATAGGACGACGACTAGTATTTACTTAAACCCAATCGCCTTCAATCTCAATCTCAAGCCCTCTCAAATCCCTTCGCTTTTATTTTTTTTATTTTTTTATGACACGGGGGGGAAAAACCCCAAACAAAACCTACACAACAGGAACTAAACGGGGTCTAGAGACCCCAATCCTATCATTAACCAAAGCAGCTTCAGCCCAAAGAGGCACTGAGTCAAACCAACACACGCCTAAGTCCAGATTATAGCTACCATTAGCCAGACAGTCAGCCAAGTAGTTCCGCTCATGATAAACATGTTGAAGATCACAATCATGGAGCAGATTCATAAAATCCCAGCAACTAGCTAACATACCAGCAAGGGGATGACCTCCAATAGTACCAGGATTCTTCATGAGATGCACAACAAGAGCTAAATCCATTTCAATCACAAGATTAGAGATCTCATGAGCTACAGCAAGCCGCAAACCAAAAAACATCCCCCAAAACTCAGCTTCCAAAATCTGACATGTCCCCAAATTCACAGAAAAATCACCAACCCAATCTCCCACGGAATCACGGATAACACCCCCGACACCAATAGCCCCAGAACAAGGCTTACAAGTACCATCCACATTTAATTTAAAAGCTCCAATCCCAGGATGCACCCAAGCAAGCTCAACCTATGTTTTAGTAAAATTGGCCTTAACACAATTAATAGAATGAAGCCAATCATTCATAGCAAATTGAATAATCTTCCGAGGACAATTAGGCAACTCCTTCTGCTCAGCAAAAATCATATGGTTCCTCCACTTCCAGATAAACCAGCGAGTAAAAACAAACACAATGTGCCACGGGATACCTGCCCCCCAAAAAGCCTTAGCACCAAGATTACCTATGAGCCAAGGCTTAACATCAACATGAGAAAGGGCAGAAACTTTGCTTGGTAAGCCAACAACACTCCAAACCTCATTAGCTCTAGGAAAATCTCTCAAAAGATGGACAAATAGATTCCGAAAACCCATCACAAAAACTGCAAGATGGGTCACTAATTAACTGTCTTCTTGCACGTTGTTCATTTGTCAAAATTCTCCATTTCAAGACTAGCCAAAAGAAATTTTTTAGCTTTGGAGGAACCCTAAGTTTCCAAAGGATGTCCAAACTAGGACCAGACCTCCCAAAATTCCTAAATAAAAGACCATAGGCAGATTTAACTGAAAACATCCCATCAGAGGTGACACTCCATATCTGAGTATCCTATAAATTACTCCCAGCTCCAATAGGAAAATTAATAATCTTTTGTACAATTTCTTCAGTCACTACACCTCTCAATTTATCAATATCCCACCATCTGTTTTTAAAAAAGCTATCCACTGTACAATCCTGCTCAACAGCATTTAGCACACCTTCTTGGTGCAGCAAAGGACCCTCATGGAGCCAGTGATCCTTCCAAAACAAAGCATTATCACCCCGACCAAGCCTCCAACTCATACCTTGTCTAAGAAGCTTGGCACCATACATAATACCTTTCCAAGTTGAAGAGCCATCCTTCTTACACGGAAGGGAATGATTAAGAATGGATTGGCCTTTTAAATACTTATCTTCAAACATCTTGACCCATAAACCCTGATCATTGTTATGAATTCTCCAACCAATCTTAGCAAGCAGAGCTTGATCTAGATTGGCCGAACTCTTGAGGCCTAGACCACCCTTATTCTTTGGCTTGCAAACCAAATCCCACTAACAGAGATGAACCTTGTGCTTTGCATCAGTTCCACCCCAAAAGAAATTCCTATTAAGCTTGTCCAACTCCTCACAAGTACTCATAGGCAACTTAGCAGTTTGCATTGCGTAGCAATTTACTCTTCCACGAAGCCAATCTCTTATGCATCTTGTCCACAATACCCATAAAAGTACCTTTCGTAACTCCAGAGTGTAACATGGGCATACCCAAATACCTCCCCAAATTATTAGTTAGAGGAGAGCCACAAATACCACTTATTTCTCTAGCTAACTCCATATTAGTGTTGGGAGAGCAAAAGATAGCCGATTTATCAAAATTAACCGATTGACTGGAAGCTGGACAAAACAAATCAAGACAACTATTCATAACTCTAACTTGTTTAATACTAGCTTCCGCAAACAACACCAAATCATCAGCAAAAAATAAATGAGAGACTGCATGCCCTAATTGGGAGGTCTTCATAGGCTTCCAACTCTTTCTATTCACAGAATCAAAAATTATGTGGGATAATTTCTCAATGCATAACACAAAAGGGTAAG